TATAAAACACATCGTGTTATATTCCAATATGGTACACAAATACAATGACATTTTATTTGGCTATTAAAAAAAAAAAAATGAAACCATGACACTTTCAAGGAATTGTATGGAAATGGAAATTATCTTAAGCAAAGTGTTCCAGACTCACCTCTCTCATACGTAGAAGCCTAGATTTTAATTTTGTATTTGGGAGGGAGTGTAAGTCATGAAGCTAGAAAGTGGACCTTGGTGGGGGTATGGTATGGAATGGTTGAGGATGAAAAGGGAGAGGATACCAGAACGGAGCAGAGGTGGGACAGAAAAAGGGGAGTGGAGAAAGGGTCTAAAAACAAAGTATCTATGAAAACAAAACTCCCCAATGAAATCCACTACTTTGTATACTAATTTTGAAAAGGAAACTAATTAAAAAAGAGTCTAATTTTGGTAGCCAATGCTCAGGCAACATGTATATATGACAGCCTGTCACTACCACAGTTCTCCATGAGTCAGTCAAGCTGCCATACACTGTGGACTTGGCTGTATGGATTAACTATAAATGATTCTTATAGTTACAGTCTTCGTATTGTTCTATCAAAAGCAATTCTCTTACTTTGGATTCTAGCAAATTTTAGAAGAAAAAAAAATTAGTTAAATCAAAATCATTGTCTTTTTGCAAGATACAAACCAACAATTAGAAAAAGGAAACTTGCTTTCCTAGCAATTGTTATTTTACAAATTTCCTACACATAGTGCTGTCATTTCCTGGTGTAAAATGACAATATAAAAACAAGATGAAGTACAACAGTATCTTCATGTATGTTACTGTGGGCTCATCTATACAACTGAGCACATAATTATGCCCACAGCAAACACTCACATGCCTAAGGGACCTCCACAGTAAGAGTGAGCTACTGTAAGGGGACATTTCTGACCAAGTTAAGACTGTCAACACTGTGGTCCATTTAGATGCCTATACCCAGCACTGTGCAGTCTGAACATCTGCAACTGAAATAACGAATTTTCAGATGAGGCAACAAAGCACAAAGCTAGGGATGCGCTGTGGTAGCTAACCTATGTCTAGCCTTAGCTCCATTATTGATTAGCTGCCTAGCCTCAGACAAGTTGCTTTATCTCTTTTCTCACCTGTAGTAAGAGCTCATGGCTCCAGCTTGACAGGGTTACCATGAAACTGTAAGGGACAGGGAGTGCTGAGACATTCTCCATCAGTGATTAGGGTTTGTATCTTTAAAACAGAAGGTAGGGTTTTGGATACAGCTTGGTTATCCTTGTCTAGTATGCATGAAGCCCTGAGTTGACCCCCAGTACCATATCAAACTTAGCATGAAGGCACATGCCTGTAATCCCAGCACTCAGAAAGCAAAGAAGGCAGGAGAAATCAGAAGTTCAGTCATCCCCAGCTACACAGTAAGTTCGAGACCAACCTAGGTTTCACATTTATCCTGTGTTTACTTTGTGTGTATACATTTTGTGGGGGTGGGTTTGTGTGTTCCCACACTCTAGGGAGGCCAGAAGCTGATATCTGGTGTTTTCCTCAATCACGCTCCACTTTATTTTTCTGAGGTAGAATCTCTCAGTGAACCTGGAACTCAGGAGATTCTGTGAGACTGGCAGGACAAGTATTTGCCTGTCTCAGCCTCCCTCCCCTGAACTGAGATTACAGCCTTGTATCACTGTGTCCAACTTTTTACAAGGGCACTGAAGATGAGAACTTTGGTCTTTATGCTTGCATGGCAAAGACTTTACAGACTGAGTCAATTTCTATTGCATTTACTCTTTAAAAGCAAATTACTGAAAAAAATATGTGACCTCTAATCCTTCCTTTCAACAGACAGTGCATTGAAATAAGAGACCCATCCCCTCTTCAAATGGAGGAGAGGAGTAAAATAACATCTAGAAATAAAACCAAAGCTCACTTTAGATGCTTTCCAACTGTATTTTCTCATCCCAAACAACTTCCTAGAAAATCGTGAAAGGCTTGTCTATCAGTCTGTCCCCCCAAACCGAGGAGTCACCCAGCCCACAGCTGATTTCCATTAAAAATAAAATGAAGGGCTGGGCTACAGCTCAGTGGTAGCACATGCCTAGTATATTGAGGCCCCCCAATGAATTCCCTAGCAGCGGCAGGGGTCAAAACAAATACATGCCATTTCCTCTGTGGTCAAGATGAACTCCTGAATTTTCCAGCACCTACCAGGGACAGGTGTGTGCACTGAGGACAGGTGTATGTGTACTGAGCAGCTCTGTTGATTCTCCCTCAGTATCTTTATATGAGGTTCTCCTAAACCCTCCCACTCAAGTGAAAAACAGGAGAGCCACTGTCAAAACACAATGCTGCCTCAGAATGGAGGGAAGAGGCTACAGTTCTGCTGTTTAAGATTTGGTTTTCATAAACAAAAAAAATTCAGCCGCAGAAGGAAATTTATGATGAAAAGCTGAAAGCTCACCACTCTATCTGGTCCAGTACTTGGATTTCAGATGTGAGCAAGTAGAGCTTCAGACATGAAGGAATCTGAAAAGGCCCCACGCCAGCCAAGAACCGTACAGAGAGACTCTCCAAAGCTTCATGGTCTACTCTGTTCACTCCATTCAAATATCAGTAACCATCACTAAATATGGGAATATCTGTTTTGGCTTTTTTTTTGCCCTCTAGGCTTCTTTAAATGTGCACTGAGGACTTCTTCCATTTCAGCTTCTGCTGCAATGTAATGTACTCATGGCTTCAAGCCTTAATCAGAAGTAAACCTGTGAAAGCAATAAATGGAGTTTCCAAAATGTGGAACATACAACACAAGCTTCTTCTGGATGGCACGCCTATAAACCCTCAAGTGGCTTTTTTAGATTATTTTTTTTTTATTCTTTCACAATCTCATACACATATAACCATGTATTCTAACTGTATTGACCCTGAAGGTTAATAGGTAGTTTTAAAACTTTTTGTGCTCGAAAAAGCCAAACCCATAAGAAAATGATACATAGTATTGCTTAGGAAGGGTACAGGAATCCTTGCACAAAATGCATGAATAATACACCTACAGGATCAACAAATGACTAAAATCTTAAGTAAATGAACTTTTAAAATCATAGGTGATTATTTGAAAATATGTTTTAAAAAGCAGGGGTCTTGCCAGGCATGGTGGTGCACGCCTTTAATCCCAGCACTCCGTGAGTTCAAGGCCAGCCTGGTCTACATAGTGAGTTCCAGGACAGCTGGGGCTACAGGGAGACCATGTCTCAAAAACAGACCGGGGAGGGGGGGAGCAGGCGTCCTAAAACAAAGTGCACTTTAATATTCCTGAAAGTCTCTTAAGTGGCAAACCTATTTTGAATGGACTGTTTTGGTCTTGCAAAGGGGCATTTCACCTGGCCCAATGCCTAGTATTTGTGGTTTATATTTCTGTCTTATTGTTATCGCCTATTTGAGGCAAGAGTTGGCTTACCATTTATGCCATGAATGAGTACCACATAAATTAGCACATCACACGATACAGCAAAACCAGGAAGACAAGGAAATATAAAGATGTTATTGTCTGAGGAAGGGCACACTTATCTTTCAAATTTTTACTAAGTAATTTCTTCAGGTGAATAGTGCTTTTACATTACACAGTATGCATCCATCTGATTGAAAGACGTACCTGGATCAATCACTGGCCATTACTGAAGTGCATTCCTATTTTACCAAACTGTCCATGATCAAGAGACCACTTACTCTCTCTCCAGCCTCTACTAAAGCGAGCGAGGGACACAAATATCCACTGTGAATCACTTGCTAACATAACAGCTAGAGAGCCTAAAGAGGGGTAGGTGACAGAGGGTGCTCATTTGTAACACCAAGTCCCTCCCATTCAAGTCACTGTACATATATATTCAGGATACAGGAGCAGTAATCAGTGTATGGCACCTACAGATTGTAGGACTAGAACAAATTGTCATTTTAGAACATGGTTATTGTGTTCCTGATGACACATGTCTGCACACATGTAATCCCAGAGTTGAGCAGTTCAGGCAGAAGTGTAAGTTCAAGGCCAGCTAGGGCTATATATACATTAAACATAGCTGCTCAATTATACTTTAAATGAGTACACTTTCTATAAATTACAGCCAAAGCAGAGAGCACAGCAGCAGCCAAATGGCCTTCTGGCATCAGACACCATCCCTGTTCAGTAACCAGGCTAACAGCAGATAAAGCCCTGGAGAGGGACCCTGCATCTGGACTGTACAGCCTCACCAATGAGACAATGGGAGAGGTTCACCTTGTGCTACCACACCAGTCATTTCTTGTCATCAGGTTGGTTCCCATTAAGACAGAGGCTGGTTATAACTCAAAGGCTGTTACAAACTGAATAGCTTACCTAGCACACTTCAGCCAGACCAAGGAAGGAATGGAAGGGAGACCATACACCATTAACTAGGCATCAGGCTGAGGTGAGCTATGAAGGCCCATGTGCAAGAGGTAGTCCTGTGTGCTAGATATCTAAAAAGGAGGTTTGAGAATTGCTTACTTGTGAGATGTCCTCTTCTTCATCATGTTTGCAGATACTCCAGCATGGCCTACAAAAGAGGTGAGTTATGGGCAGTGAAAAGAGGATTTAAAAAAAAAAAAACCTGCTACACAAAACGTGAAAGCAAGACATAACAGCCAACATGTCAGAGCCATGCATCTACTTAACTTTAAAAAGGCGATACTCTGAGCAGACAAAATGGCAGACACAATGATTCTCCACTCCCAGATCAGCCTTATAAAAGCAAAACCAGTCACATGAACAAAATTAATGGTAACACTCCCAGCGACTGCTGTAGTAATGGTATAGACCTCATCTTCCCCCCATAAACCAGGAAACAGGGCAAAATACATCTGAAGAAGCATCTGGTTTCAGACACCGTGCAGCAAAGGCCTACAGGAGGTAGAAGCAAACTAGCAAACAAGGTGGCCACGCTGACCGAGTTCATTCCTGAAAACCCTGTACGAATGATGGTATTTGAGGAGATACAACTTTGCCCAGCAGTGTCAGACTGGAGTTGCAGAGGACTGCTGGTTGGCAGTGTGCAGCAGTATATACAAAGAGAGCTACTCAGAAGAGAACCCCAAAACTCAGCTGGGTGGAAGGCAAAAGGGGCTCAGGCTCTGGCTAAACATGTATCTGCCCATGAGTAATTCTGAGAATTCACAAAACAATAAAGCTGTTCAAATTCCATCTAGCCAGGGCAATCAGAAAAAAAAATACTTAGAACTTCTTAGGAAGGCTGCAGTAGCCTATCTAACACAGAATACTAAAAGTCCATCCTTAATATCTACTTGCAAGCAAACTCTCTAAAATGTCAACAAAATCCCTGTGGCTCAACATCACAACACTTCAAATGTCCAACACCTTCCCTTCCACATTATTAGACAAGAAAGACCTGGGTGTATTAACTCGTTGGTGAAGCATATGCCTAGAATGCACAAGACCCTGAGTTGATCTCCAACAACACACATACCCACACCCACACCCACCGACCCCCCCACCCCTCCCCACAGAGACACAGAAAAGTAACCCAGACTAATGGTACCTGTCTATAATCCCAGCACTCAGGGGGCAGAGACAAAGGACTGCCATAAGTTTAAGGCCAGCCTGGTCTACATATAGGGAGGGAAGGAAGGTGGGAGGGGAGAAACACCAATAACCAAGTAGATCACAACCAAAGCAAAGCATTTAGCAGACAAGAACATTAAAAAATAAACACATTCAAATATTCCCTAAAATCAGGAAAATATAAGGAAAACAAGCCAAACCAGTAAAAAGAACACCATCAAAAATGAAAATACCACTACCTTACTGGACAGAATTAGCAGACCATTTCAATCAGTGAGCTTGACCCACAACAATACAAACTTCCCGAACCTGCACAAAGAAACAAACCAGGAGAATGAGCCAGCCAAGACCTACAGAGCAATCCCCGTTCACAAACAGGAAACTAAGACTCTGAGAAAAAGGAGAAGCGGAAGGGAAAGCAATGGTTGAGCTTTGGAGATGTGATGAAAAGCACTCAAGCACAGGCTAAGGGGACAACAGTGATCTAAATCTTTACCAACCCACCTATGGACAGCCAACACAATGACATGGGATACAGAGTACAGCTATAGCAACTAAGAGACTCAGATTAACCTCAGGACAAATGTCACTGTGGATCAGAAAAGACATTTCAAAACACTAAGAAGGCTGATTCGTCAAGAAGTCGAAATAACCTTAAATACACAAAGGCCTAACAGCAGAGTACTGAAATCCATGCAGCAAAACCCAACCGAATTGAAATCAAAGCCACATCCATAATTATGCTTTGGGATACAACTCTTCTCTCAACAACTGATGTAACAAGTGTGCAGAAATCAAAAGGACATAAACACTGAACCTTAGCAGCCGACTTGAAACGAACACCAGAATACATTTCCCTAGGTCTCAGGGCAACCTCGCTCAGATATACCAACCACATGTTGCCATAACTCCAGTCTCAATATGCCTAAAATAACCTGAAATCACGAAAAATGTTATCACTTATCAGATCAGAATTAAATCAAACATAAATACCAAAAACTATCTGAACAGTTGAATAACAATCTTCTTAAAACTCATAGTTCTAAGACACAATCACAATGAAATTTCTAATATTTTGAAGAGAATAAAAAAGAAAACAGAGATTAGAGGCTGAAAAGCAAGAAACACTTTTGTTCATCAGGAGCACGCATTAAATGGCCAAGTATGAAGAAAAAAGTTCTTCACAGGTCAGCAGAGTGGCTTTCTGGGAGACAGTGGGGCAGGAAGACTTCTTTCTGCACTGTCTGCAAGCTCTCCTCTCCTTGGTTTTCTAGTAAACAGTACATTTACAACTTTTCAACACTAACTAAAGGTATTAAGCAGCCAAATGGTCTAAAAGCTTATAGCTCCTGAGAAATAAAGACGGCGTGCTGGGGACCTGACTGCCTGGAAAGCCACCTAGACCCACTGAGCTGGGAACAAAGGTGACAAAAACTGACTGTGGCACCCACAAACAGTGACAATAAGGTTAAGTCAAGAGTGGGAGCAACGCCCCAGAAGCACCCCTAGACACCTCTAAGTAGGGAAGGAGGTAGACCACAGAAAAAGGCTTCATTCAAGATCTCCTGGAACTGCAACAGGTGTTCCCATCCCCTCTCCCATCCCCACAGTATTCTACACAACCCACCCCCATGACCCCACACTGGGTACCCCAAATGCTACGAAACCAGGTCACCATCACTGTACCTTGAAAGACAAAGCTTTTCCTACACACACCACACTTGCCAGAGCAGACTTTCCTATTGAGAATCTGCCATTTGTCAGTCAGGTAAAGGTAAACATTCACACCAAATAATGCTTTAATCTTACGTATGAATGGACAACTGAAAGCCACAAGGTAGGGGCTGGACAGACAGCTCAGTGGTTAAGAGCACTGGCTGCTATTTCAGAGGACGTGGGTTGTGTACACATGGCAGCTAACTGTCCTTAATTACAGTTCGAGGGGATCAAATGCTCTCTTCTGGTCTCTATGAGCACTTCACCACACATTTATACACACGCAGGCAAAATACTCATAATAAAGAGAACAACAAGCTAGGAGGCGAGGCTGAGGAGACGGGAACAAGCAGCAGTGCTGTCCAGAGTCAGTCTGAGAAGTCAGAGTCCTGAGAACAGTACTCAAGGAACACAAGGTACTGTGTGATCACAGTAGAAACCAGAAGCTACACAAAAGGAAACCAACAGCTCTTACAAATTAAACCTAATCAAGATAGTTTCCAGTTTTTTGGTGTAACATGCAAGGGTTTAAGTCACTTCTATGTCCTTCATGCAAGTAAAACATTAAAAACCACAAGATAAGCAACTATTTACAAACTGGAGAGAAAAGCAAAGAGAAGACCACAACTTAACCCAATCAGAACCACTCAAGGGTAGGAAGCCTCAACTGGCACTGCTGAGGGTCAGTGGAGCCCAGTCAAAGACAATGGGACAGGGGACATTTTCAATGTTCAAATGCCTATCTGAAACGAAGAGGATTAAGTACCCCCAAAAGTATCATTTTCTTGTCACTCCATCATTTTCTTGTCACTTCTAACACTAGAAAGCAGAAGTAGGATCACTGTAAATTCAAAGCTAGCCTAGGCTCATAAGACCCTGTTATAAGGAAAGGAGGACAAGAGGGAGGAAGGGTTCACTTGTTATTTTATAATATATTCCGTAAGACTTTATTTTTTGTTTTTCCAGGGGGTAAAAAAGGAGGGGTGGGGGGTCTTCACTTCTATCCTTGTTGCTATTAACCATGTGACAGGATCTCAAGTAGAAAAGTTTGGCCTGGAACTTGCTACATAAAGGAGGATGGCCTTGAATTTGTGGTCTTCCTGCCTCCACTTCCACAGTGCTGGGATTATAAGCACCTGGCTTTAATCTTTCATTTCAGATCCCTATCAATAAATTTACTTCAAATAAACATTCTAAAAACTGAATTAGATCCTCTTCCTGCACCAAAGCTACTCAATTTCCTCTCACTAAGTTCAATATTCTAACATTTCATTCTCTTTGCTTAAAAAATAATTCCTTGATTTAACTATAATCCTACTAAACAGGCACTTAAAATTCACTTGCTAAGTTTACCAGCTACTTGTAAATTGCTAGGTTATACAGAAGTAATATTTAGCATGATGACCCTCTTTTTTAAGAAACTAAAACTCTTCTTTCACATATATGTATGAACGGATATATGTACAAAATACCAAGAACTATAAAGCTTTACGAAGACCAAACTGCTAGGTACTATGTGAAATCACTGTTCTAAAATGTCTATTATACTAAAATACAGGCAGAGCTGCAATGCTTACCTGCATCAGCTCTGGACCGCTGGCCAGGTGTCTTCCCGAATGGGGTCTTCATTCATCTGTATTTACGTGAGCAGCAAAGCTGCTGGACTAGGGTGAAAATTCAGTGTTCTCCAATATGAAGGAAGCTCCCCACAGAAGGTCAGTGTTCTTGTTAGTCCACCATCCAGGTGTTTCTTTTACAAGTTCAGCAAAAACACGTGGACTCTCAAGCACTCTGTAAAATGAGCATCAACACAGCAAAATGCCTAGTGAGCCTCTAAATATGATATAAAACATAAGTGTTAATTCTCAGCTAAATGCACTGATCCCTGAAACAGTGACCTGGTTCCCAGCAAAGGCAACACTTGAAGGACAGAAGGGGAAGCCTGACACAATTCTGAGACCAGAGGAAGGCCACTGAGAGACCAAAGTCCTTTCCCATCACATCCTAATTCACCCTGCTGCTACCCATCAGAGCAGGCAGACACTGAGGTTTCAGAAAAGACTTAGTAGCCTGGCCCAACCTATCTCCTGGGGGAGGCAACAGCAGTCCAGGTGACTAAGGGAGTGTAGCTGGATGACACAGGCGCAGGCCAAGTCTTGGGAGGGACAGCATAATTTTGCTTTTTCTTTTTTGCTTCTAACCTTTCAGAAACTACAGGGAAGAGTCCAGTAACCTCAGAGGAACCTTCAAAGACTTAAGTCATTTCACTACTATCTCTTACACCCAATTTGGATCCAGAACTGTAGAAGCCAGAGAGCAAAATATTTTCACACACATTCTCCAAGGTCACTGGTGGCCTGGGGCCCTCAAGCATTCATCGGCATGCCTGCTACCATTATGCCCATTATTCATAAGTTCAACAACTAAAGGGAATGTTGGAGACTAAAAAGCAGCAAAATAATTAAAATACCCAAGAATCCAAATGAAAGACAGAGAAATCAGCTTAGAGTAAAAATTCTAAATAACCAGGAGTTATGAAGCCTGAAATCTTGGACATCTGGGAGGCCAAGGTAGGAAGAGAGCTGAAGGCCAGGAGTCTGAGGCTGGCCTGGGCAACATAGGAAGGCCAACCTCAAAACTACATAAACCTTGTGTCATTCACAAAGGAAGACAGTTTAAAAAAAAAAAAATTGTTGTTTTACGACTAATTTGTTTAATAATTATTACTTCAGTGCCTACTGCTTGTAAGCTTACACTGAAGTAAAGTAAATAAATCAAACAGTAGCAAACAACATATTGAACAAGCACAGTCCAGAAAGAACACAGGCAGCAGCTACTCTGGAGGTACTGCTCCCACCATGCCTGCCTACAGAAACCAGGCCTCCCAGGAAGGCCACCAACAAGTAGGTGGGACCTTCTCCACCTGCCACATCAGGCCTCACGTCCCCTCACTTGACACTGCCCACACTGACATATCCAAAGACCTATTACCCTCTTCACTCTTCCTGCCTATACCTCTCCAAAGGAAGCATTTTAGCAAAATACTACCTACCTATTGCCACCAGAGACCCCTCACACAAAGACCCTGCGATGGTGACAACTCACATTGCTCAACGCAGATCCTTCCACAAGTTCTCTTACCACAAAGCCTCCACTTGAAAACACAAGCCATGCAGTGTACTGACAGCTATCCTTTTGCTATCTTCTATTAGTCCTCAGTCATCTGTGCACACTGAAGACCTCTGGTATTGATGGATTCAAACCATCCCCCAGGCCAAAGAAAAAGTTGTACAAGGAAGTAAAACGAAAAACAATTCTAAACTGCTGAGAAAGAGTTGACCTTTTTGTGCACCTCGCCCAAGCTGGAAATCACCCGAAAAATCCCCCTCCCGCTTCTGCTTTTCTTGGCTTAGGAGCCGCTTGTGGTTTGTGGTTTTTGCCTTTATAAGCAGCCTGTAAGCTGAGCTCGGGGCTTCTTCTCTCCGAGTGAGGCAGGAGCCCGTCTGCGCAGACGCCAATAAAATCCTCTTGCTTGTTGCATCTCCTGGTCTGGGGACTGAGTTATTGGGGTGCGGCCTCCTGTGAACATTGGGTACCCCAGACTGGGGGGGGGTCCAACATTTGGGGGCTCGTCCGGGATTCAGTCGCGCCCCCCCCCCCAGACCCACTTCCTCAGATCAGCAGGAGGTAAGGACAGACGTCTTGTGGTTTGTCTTGGTCTTAATGTCTGTCAGTCATTTCCTGTTTTGGGAACGTTCCGTCTGAACAATTGTGCCTGTACAGGACCTGTAAGTCTGTATTCTGGGAACCAGCGGGAAGTCTGTATTCTGGGAACCAGCAGGAGTGACAGACGTGCCCAGAGGCCCCTGGTTCCGACACTCTGGCCTTAGTGACCAGAGTGATCTGGAGTGGGGAGAACAGCGTAGCTTTCCTCACCCCGGGAGAAAGGAGATTGGCTTGGCTACTCCCCTCCCAATCTGTACTTTCAGTTTTTGAGTCAAGAAACACGTGGCAAGGACTTTTTGTTTTGTGTTTGTCTGTATTTGTGCTTGAGGATCCTGAAAGTGAAATTGATGAGTGCAGTGCACATCTGAGCGAAAGAAGGACCGGTCCACACGTATGTGATTCAATGTGATGTGTGTGTACTTGATGGTTGTGTTAATGTCTTAAAAGGGGGAGGTCTGGTTTTGTATTTTTCTATACGCTTTCTGTATACACTTTCTGTCTTAAAAGCTTCTTCCCTTTTCCCCTCCATTTGTTTTCTATATCTTCCACCCTTCTCTATTTTCTTTTCCGGCCACTGAAAAAGCCCCGCGGGCACGGGTCGAGCAAATAAGAGCCATAGGGCGCTCGTCGCCAAAGGACTCCTGTGAAAGAATAAGGGGGTCCCAGGCGTGAATCCCAGATAAATTCACGTCCCCCGCAGAAGAAAAACTGGGCAACGATAGGTACTCGTCCACAAGCACACTCATTGGTCATTATTATTTGGAGTGGCATCTTTATCTCTCTCTCCTCCTCTCTCTCTTCTGTGACCTCCACCATGGGTCAGTCACTAACTACCCCTTTAAGCTTAACTCTAGAATACTGGAAAGAGGTCATGGAATGAGCCCACAACTTATCAGTGGAGGTCCCAAAGAAGAAGTGGCAGAGTCTCTGTTCCTCTGAGTGGCCCTCTTTTGAGAAAGGATGGCCAAAGGATGGGACTTTTGACCTTGCTACTATCTTACAGGTTAAGGAATACATTTTCCACCCAGGACCACACGGACACCCAGACCAGGTGGCTTATATAGTCACCTGGGAAGACTTGGCCCGGAACCCCACACCTTGGGCACGGCTGTTCCTGCCTCCTCGGGAAACCAGAGAAACTGATCAAGGGCCCCTTACCCCTTCAGCTCCCCTGAATCTCACTTCTTCCCTCCTGCCCCTTCAGTCCTCCCCTGAAAAGACAAAACAAAAGCCAGTTCTCCCCGAGGACCAAACCTCCCTAACTCTCCTTGATCCTCCGCCTCCCTATCCACCCGTGCAGGCACCTCCATCCCAGGAACCTCATCCCTCTCCCGATTCTACCGAACCCGACCAATCTCCCCCTCCATCTAGCAGACTCCGCCTGAGGATGGACAGAGGGGGCCCCTCTGATGGAATCTGGACTGCCCAGGTTTTTCCCCTCCGAACTGTAGGGGATCAGCTCCAGTACTGGCCTTTTTCAGCCTCTGACTTGTATAATTGGAAGACCCATAACCCCTCTTTTTCTCAGAACCCTCAGGCTCTAACTGCTTTAATAGAGTCTATCCTCCTCACCCACCAACCCACCTGGGAGGACTGTCAACAACTCCTCCAGGCGCTTTTAACCACAGAGGAGAGAAAGCGAGTCATCCTAGAAGCCCAGAAAAACGTGCCCGGGCAGGATGGGAGACCCACTCTGCTCCCAAATGAAATAGACGAAGGAATTCCTCTGACCAGACCCAACTGGAACCACGAGACCCTGGCTGGTAGGGAGCATCTCTGTCCTTATCGCCAGACTCTGATAGTGGGTCTCAAAGGGGCCGGAAGGCGTCCAGCCAATTTGGCAAAGGTACATGCTATAACCCAGGGGGAAAATGAAACCCCCGCAGGGTTCCTAGAGCGTCTAATAGCGGGATATCGGATGTACACCCCTTTTGACCCCACGGCCCAGGAGCGTCAGGCAGATCTTATTATGGCCTTCATAGGACAATCAGCTCCTGACATTCGTGGTAAGCTCCAATGGCTAGAAGGCCTTCAGGGGTACTCCTTGCAGGATTTAGTAAGAGAAGCTGAAAGAATCTATAATAGGCGGGAAACATTAGAAGAAAGAGAGGACAGAATCAGAAAACAGGAAGCTAGAGAAGATAAAAGAGAGAAAAAGAGAAATAAAGAATTAAGTCGAATTTTGGCCACAGTAGTTCAGGGAGCAGGACCAGGTAGGGACCTCGGAGACAAAAGGAGGCCCCGAGTAGATAAAGACCAATGTGCCGATTGCAAGGAAAAAGGACATTGGGCTCGAGCAAGGAAAGAGGACACTGGGCTCGAGAATGTCCGAAGAAGCTGAACAAACCTCAAAAGAAAACAACCCCAGTCCTGACTCTAGGGGACTAGGGCAGTTGGGGCCAGGAGCTCCCCCCTGAGCCCAGGGTAACTTTAAAGGTAGGGGGGCAATTGACTACCTTCATGGTAGACACAGGAGCCCAACACTCGGTCTTGACCCATGAGTAACACTCGAGGGACCCATGAGTAACAGCCTGGGTCCAAGGAGCCACTGGTGGAAAAACATACAGATGGACTACAGAAAGAAAAGTGGACCTCAGCACGGGACAGGTCTCCCACTCATTTTTGCTGGTCCCTGACTGTCCATACCCCCTTCCTGGGAGAGACTTACTCTCTAAGCTGGGAGCCCACATCCACTTCACCAGAAAGGGAGCTACCCTAAAAGGAAAAGATGGAGCACCACTACAAGTACTAACCCTATGGCTGGAAGATGAACATTGGTTATATGAAGGACCAATAATAGGGACCCCTGGTGTATCAGACTGGCTAACTAAGATCCCCTCAGCATAGGCTGAGACAAGAGGCCCAGGACTGGCATTCAACCAGCCCCCAATAGTGGTCACTCTAAAACCATCTGCAACCCATTTTCAATCAAACAATACCCTATGAGCAGAGAGGCCCGAGAAGGAATCGGGCCCCATATCCAAAGACTCTTACAAATGGGCATACTCCAGCCCTGCCAATCCCCTTGGAACACCCCGCTGCTCCCCATGAAAAAGCCAGGAACA